AATCCTGGCCAACAACTGAAATCCTACCAGATCCTATCATCTTTGCTACATAATTTTTAAGTCTCTTCTCATTTTTTCTTCCAGAGTCCTTGCTAGTATTAGAGAAAGTGCCTCCACTACACTGGTACTCTCTCACTTAATTCTAAATCCTCTGCAATCTGCCTTTTAACCTCAATCAATTGAAATTGCCCATTCCAAAATTATCAATGATCCCTTAAAATCATCTAGCAGATCTAACAGATGATTCTCAATCCATATCCTCAATACCCCTGCAGCATCTAACACTGCTGACCATCCTCTCCTGATGGACATAACTTTCTCTGCACTTTTATGACACTGCTCTCTCATTTCTCTTCATACCATATCCTGAGGCTCCTTTGCTAGACGATCACAAGACATACTTGCTAATGGTGGATGTTCTCTACTGGGCTCTCTTTTCTTTTCTCCCTATACATTCTCACTTGGTGACCTCATCAGCTCTCCATTATCATCTATGCAGATGACTCCTAGCCCCACTCTCTACTCCTGAGTTTCAGCCCCATACCATCAATTGCCTACTGAGCACCTCAAACTCAATAGTATCTTTCTTCTCAAATCCACTCCTCTTGAACTTCTGTATGATTCTCAAAGGCACCACTATCCTTCCAGTCACTCAAGTTTCACAATCTAAGTGATTTTTCACTCATTCATCTTCACATACCCAATCAATTGCAGCAATTGTCAATCGTCATCTAAATTGCTTAACAGCACTTTCAACAAAAGGGCAGCTAAGCAGTGCAGTAGCTAGAGCACTACTTATGAAGGGGAATCTTCCTGAATCTTTCTGATTCCCCTTCCTAAGTTCAAATCTGGCCTCAGACATGTAATACCTGTATGACCCTGGGCAAGTCATTTGATCCTGTTTGCCTCAGTTTCCTCATCTGTAAAATGAGCTGGAGAAGGAAATGGCAAATCACTCCAGTACCTTTGCCAAGAAAACTCCAAAATGGGGTCACAAATAGTCAGACACAACTGAAATGACTTAACAAAAATAATTTTCAACAATGGCTTGATCCATTATTGTCAATCAACAAGATTAACATCATGATGTCTCTGTGAAATAGGAAGCTTAACAACTCCACCTTTTTCTGAGCTTCTAGAATGTCATGTGCTATATATATGTGTGGGCTGCTCTCTTTGTACACTACAATTTCTAGAGGACATGAAATAAAAACTATAAACCACAAGGAACAGGATGTCAGTGCAATGCTTGTGGTATAACCACACCTACATTTTCAAATTATGACAAGAAAACATTCAAGAACACTTCCTGCAAGCAGCAGTTGCTACTGAATTCTTTCCAAAAATGTAACTTCAAAAATATGAATGGACACTTGTCTCTACACTTCTACTTCTTAGGAAGTATTAAGGAAATACATTTTACCTGATTAAAAAGTTTGGAGAAAATAAAAATGTATTAAACTCTGGGAATACCAATATAGTAATTACTAGAAGCTTTGGAGACAGATACTGCCAAAAAAATCAGATACTTAAAGTAAAAAGCTCTTTACCTAGGGAGATGTCCCCTGGCAATACTACAGATGCAGTGTCTGTGGATAGAAGGAGACAAAGAAAGGGTGCCTGCTTGGTCTAGGCAACATGCTCCATCACCTGTTTAATTGATTATTGACATTCCTAACACTGTGAGGAGTCTCCTCACTGTCGTAAGCTGCTAAGGAGATTGCTCAAGACTTTTGAAACCTGGAATAAAATTTAGGTGGGAAGGGAAGGAGACAGAAGCTAAAGTAGATACTCTGGGGTTGGACACAACTAGGATCATGGTAACTAGCAATAAATGTCGCAGCAGTTAACATACTCACACTTAACAAGATAAACCACAGACTAGTAACACACTTTAAAAAAAAAAAGATACACTTAATGCTCAGTATGTTTGATGTAATGGCTGGTCACACCTTATTCATGATAACAAAGAGATTATCAACGATGAGAGAAATACCTACTCAATACAGACAACCAAGACTATCAGTGACAACAGTCAAAAGGAATATAGAAGTCTAGGCATTTCCAAAGAAACTGAACGTTCTTCAGAGAGCAAACTGGTTCTCGTATTTTAAATCCTACTACCACTGCAGTCAGGTGACAGCAACATTTTCAAATTATATATTTTGTAGTCCTTTATCTGCAAAACAACCATTATAAAGTGATAATATTTTCTCAAATGGAAGGAAGGCCCTTCTAAACACACTCCTGGAACCAAGAGGGCTTGACTATTCCACGTAACTGTGACAAAAGAGAAATATATTAGTTTTTTAATAGAATCATTCATAAACATTAATGTGAAGATTAATGTTAAGATTAATTAGCATTAATCTAAAATCTTTTTTTGCTCTTTTAAATCTTTTTAACCCTTCCAGCAATCTTGTTGGGCTTGTGTCCAATCTGGATTTTTCTTTAAGGCTTTCCTTGTAGATGTTTTTTGAGTCATTGCCTTCTTCTGGGTTTGTGTCTTACATTTCCTTGTCACCACAGCAGCTCTTTATGGTCAGGTTCTTTTTATGTTTGTTCATTCTTCCAGCCCATTTCTTGACTTTACACTTCAGGCTGATGCCAGGCTCTGCTCACCTGAGGAGGTGCATCTGGCCTGAGCTTCTGTTCTTTTCTCTTTCTGCTGCTTTCACAGCTCAGTCTGGGGGCCTGCAAGTTTTCGGTATTTCCAAAGCGATGTGATGCAGGGACAGGTCTGTTTGTTCACTGCCCTGTTAATCTGCAAATTCCGGACCTGGTTTGGGTCTGTTGGCTTATATGTGGTTAAGTTTCTGTAGACTGCTGCTGGACTCGGTTACAGTTAGCTCGCTGGGTTGGCTCTGCTGGTTCAGAGCAACCGAACTGGGGGTTTTCCCTTTGTTTGGTTTCCTGCTTTGTTTTATTCCACTGTAGGTTTATGCGCAGAGCTAAAGATCAGAAATGAGTCCCCCCACTGCTCTTGGGCTCAGAGCCAGACAGCTATGATTCTGGAACTTGTTCCTTGCTCCTTGCGCAGGTAGGAGCTCTGCTCCCTCTCAACCACAATCACTCCTTTCTGCCTAGATCTATGCCCTGGAACCAGGGAATGGGTGACAGAGCTGCCAGATGGCACTTGTTCCTACTCCAAAGGATAGCAGAGAGGTGGGACTCTGGGATCTCTTTCAGCCCAGGTGTTCAATCTTCTTACCATCCTCAGGTGCTGGCCTGCTCCCTGCTTCTGTTTGTTGTGGTACTGCTGTTGGTTCTCCACCGCACTCCTGGCCAAGCCCTACCTCAATATCTGCAGACACTCTCTGGATGCCCTCTAAAGCTGCCATTAGCTAGAAAAATGACTCACTGTGACTTTTTCTTGACTTTCTTGATTAGACTTTGGTCTGGTGCTCTTTATCAGTCACTGTAGAGGAGGATGTAAAAGAGTTAAGGCAAAACTGCTAGCTCTCACTTGGCCATCTTGACTCCATCACAACATTAATGATTTTCAAAGCATGCTGGCATGAGTTCTAAATAATGGATGATGCTCTCATGCCTTCCCAGTTGCCAATGGAGTGAAGCAAGGATGTGTGCTTGTTTCCATGCTTTTTAGTAGAATGTTTTCAGCAATGATGTTGGATACCTTCAACAAGGACAAAAAGGGCATCAAAGTCAGCTACCGCCATGATGGTAAACAAAGTAGAGGGAGAGTTGGTACGTGACTTTTTGTTCATAGATGATTATGCACTCAATGCAGCCTCTGAGGCTGAGATGAAACAAAGTATGAAACAATCCTGCTGCTTGTGCTAATTTTGGTGTAACAACACCAAGAAAACAGAAGTTCTCCACCAGCCAGCACCACACCATCCATACGTGGAACTATCAGATAAGTTCACTTACCTTAGCAGTATAACTTTCCAAGGATGTCCACATAGATGATGAGATTGATACATGCATTGCCAAAGCTACTTCAGTGTTTGGGAGGCTCCAAAGGAAAGTGTGGGAGAAAAGAGTAAGTATTAGACTGCCTACTAAACTGAAGCTGTTGTGCTGACCTCATTGTTGTATGCCTGTGAAACCTGGACAGTATGACAGTACCATGCCAGGAAATGGAATCACTTCCATTTGAACTGTCTTAGGAAGATTCTGAAGATCACCCGGCAAGATAAGGTACCAGACACTGAGGTCCTTTCTCGAGCTGAACTGCTAAGCATTCAAATTCTTCTGCAGAGAGCGCAACTCCACTGGGCTGGCCACACTGTTCAAATGCCAAACATATTTTTGCCTATTAGAATATTCTACCAAAAACCCACACAAGGCAAGTGTTTACATGGAGGTCAGAAGAAGTAACAAAAGGACACTCTCAAAGTCTCTCTGAAGAACTCTGGAGAGCCAATATTTTTAGTCTGATTTAAAATGTTAACAATATATTCTACCCTCTTGATTTTTTGTATTATTAACATCTCATAAGTATAACACTACAATCTAAATTCTGCCCAATACTGTATGTAATTTAATAAGACAATGAAAGCTTCTCTGCTGACCAAAATTATTCTTGTTCTTGTTCATCTCACTGAGAGGTATACTCCGTTTCTATCAATTAAAAAATGCTAAGGTACTTAATCTTCTAATATGCAGATAATCTAAAATTCAGTTAAGTTATATCCTAAGAGTTTACAAATCCTTAGACTGAATTTACCTATTAACTAGCAGGCTGATCCTTTCAACTAACCATAAAATGGTGCACTGCATCAGCTCCAAGAATTTCTCTGCAGTACATTTCTCAATATCATGTTGGTAAGGAAAAAAAAAACTGGGAAATGTGTTAAGGGCATGTAAGAAAGAAAATTAGGCTTAAGGAAAATATGCATAATGGCATTATTCTACTTTAAGCTAACACAATCTTATCTAACATCAAAGGTTCATCTGTGTCACTTCATTTAAGCCACAAGGAATACTAATGAATACCATTTCTGCTTCTATCAATAAGTAGTTTTATTGTTTACCTGCTGAGTACGGCTTCTTTGTCTGCCAAACGAGTTTTAATTTTACTAGTCAGGTAGTCCAAAAAAAGGGTCCATATATCCAAACAGGAGAAGTAACCTTCATGGGTAGGCTATAATGCAAAAGAAATACAGGTAACAAAATTAATAAAAATAGAAATTTCTTATTTTTGAAAAGGCTGTTCCTTTAAAAGTTAAAAACAAAAGCAAGCTACCTCCTAAACAAATATTCCTCCAATATGTGAAATCAAAGAACTTCAGTTCACTTTTGTAAAAACGGTCCCTTAATTTTTTCTGCTCTAGACAGCCAAGTTAAAAGCTTTATACATAGTTACATATAAACTCTTTTAATAGATATTATGCAGAAGTAGTGTTATGAAGGAGAATAAATAAATGAATCTTCTAAAAACCAAAGGTGTGTTTCAGTAGCTAAAAAAAAAGGGGGGGGGACGGGGATGGGGGTGGGGGCAGGTAGGTGGTGCAGTGGATAGAGCACCAGCCCTGAAGTCAGGGGGACTTCAGTTCAAATTCGGCCTCAGACCAAACACTTGACGCTTACTAGCTATGTGACCCTGGGCAAGTCACTTAACCCCAACTGCCTAAAAAAAAGGTAAAGAATTAAATTTAGGAATTCTGATTAAGATGATGATGTGAAAAGTTGCAAAAAAGTACAACTCTCCTACACATCCCAGAAAATATCTGAAAAGGACCCCAGATAACAAAAATGATAAAAGAAAACCAAAGATCTTCTGTCTGATCCACAACTGTAAAAAAATAAAGCCAGAACCATGCAGAAGTATTTGGTATTTGTACAAAAGAAGGATCACATCAAGGAAGCCAGTTCAAGCTCCAATAATCAGATCTGAATACTACAAGCACAGAAAGAAGGGTTGTGCCAAGGAAGACAATGCAAGCTCTAGTAAATGGGTCTGAATCCAGCAGGTGTTCTAAATAAGGACACTCCAGGGCCTCTCAATTCAGTAAGAGAGCCATAATTGGGGCCTGAAGCCAGATCCCAGGCCTGGCCAAACAGAACAGAATTGGGGAACAAGGTGAGCCTATATAAGTCACTGTATAAGGAGACAGGGCCACAGCAATAAACAAGGCCAAGTCAGGTCTTAAACGTCCAAGTGACCTTGTAAGAGGTTGAAGACCAGTGCAATCACTAACTCTTAACTGAGATACGCTGGGGTTACAGCAGGAAATGGTACCAACTCCTAACTGGAAACTGTTCAAGGAGAAGGAGATAGAAAACAGACTGAGGCCAATGGACCACCTGGAGGCTGAGACAGAAATTCAATCTAGTCTGAGCAATTCCATTCAAAATGGCAACAGTAACAGCATCCAAACTAAAAATCAGAAAGAACCAAAATTGGCCTACTCAGCCCATCCAAAAGTGTCAATCTGATCCTCAAAGTCCCAATCCAATAGCTAATCTTCGTAATCCATCCAATCCAATATTAATAAATAGAAGCAAACCCAAAAGACAATGGATAAATTCTATGGGTTGTGAAGCCCAAGAGATAACCCCAGAAGAAGAGATTAATAAAGCCTCAAAGGAAAAAAAAAATGCTTGGCCACAAGAGCAAGATCAGCTAGAAGAAATGAAGCTAAAAATAAAAATTAAGTGTAGAAATAGAGGAATGGAGTCAGAAAGATCTAGTTCAAATCTGACCTCTCAGACACATGATACTTCCTAGATGTGTGACCCTAGGCAAGTCACTTAACCACGATTGCCTCACCAAAAAAAAAAAAAAGAAAAAGAAAAAAGAAATGTAGCGGAAAAAAAATTACCATAATATAACTCTCCAGGCATTTTCCAATCTGCATAAGTAGAGGTAACTACCAAGGCCCCAATTATCAAATGTAATTTCAAACAACCGCTGATCAGAATATAGGGTTTTAGAAACCACCTAAACCAACTTCTTCATTTCATAGTTGAGGAGACTAAGGCCCAGATAAGCTAAATGACTTGCCAAAGGTCACAGAGTATTAAGTAGCAAAGGCCAGATGCAAACTCAGGGCTCCAAAGTCTAGTCCACTTTCCACATAACCGCCTCTCGCTAAGCACATTACTTTCTTTCTTCCCTTTATGATGTCAATTCAGTTCAATTCAAACTAAACACTTTTTATGTACAAGGCACAGTCCTACAACATTTGGCATATTCTGCTCCCGCTGTCTAGTCTAAGCCTTCCCTTTCCATATGACTATCCATCCCCTGATATGAGCTACCCCACAGCAATACCATTCTGATGACTGGATCAGAAAGCGAAGGAGAGCCAAGATGGAAGACAAAGTTTATAGGTCCATCTGAAGCCTTCCAAGAAATACTTAATATGTCATTATGCTCATCAAACTTAATGGTAGTGAACATCGAATGTCAATTTCTGGCCTACCATTTATCTACATCATCAAAGACTGGGGGCGGGGAAGAACAGCAGATATAAATACTAGACAAAATCCTCTTTCATTCTGGGTTTTGCAGCAGACTACCCCCGCTATCATGTTTTCTCTCTTTCACTAATCTTCTGTCTCACCCTATCTCCTGGCTCCTTCCCTGCTGCCTACAAGAAAGTGGGAAAAAAGCAAAAGTCAAAGAGAATAGTTCCTCAGTCATGATCACAGTGTTCAAGATGTGGAATTTCTTAATGAAAAAAACCAAAGGATGCTCATTTTCAAGTCTCCTCAATGGTTCTGATGAGATGTTCCACATTATCTCCATTTATGCATCTTAACAAATAGCAGTTAACAATTAAGGCCATTTTCTTCTGCACCTGGTCCTCTTCCAAATCTCTCAAGTTCTTGCTTCTAAAATTGGCATAAAGGGTTTTAAATCCATTATTGTACTGCTAGTAGGAGGGCTAATCCTACCTAATCCAAATCCTGCTGCTGTAGCCATTAGGCTTTGGTCATTTTGTGGGAGAAGAGTCTTTCTGCCCACACCTTCCTCATTCTTAAACAAAAAACCCTCACTTGGTCTGACCTTCTGGCTAGATGAAGTTTTTTATCTCTCCTCCCTTTCATGGCTGAACACCATGAGAAAGCATCTAGACTTGGTGCCTCTGCTTCTTTTCCTTTCACTCAATTCTAAACCCCCTGCAATCTGACTTCCAACTTGATCATTTAAATGAAATTGCTTCTCCAAAATTATCAGTCTCTTAATTGTCCAATCTAATACCCTTTTCTCATTCCTCATCCTTCTTGTCCTTTCTCTGTAGCCCTTGACATTGCTGACCATTCTCCTCTTCTCCTGAAAACTCTCATTCTCTGAATTTTCATTATGCCATTCTCTCCTGGTTTTTCTCCTATCTGACAGCTCTTCATTGTTCTTTGCTGGATCTTCATCCAGGTCATATCTACTAACAGCAGGGCTTCCCCAAGACTCTGTCCTGGGCCCCTTTCTCTTCTCTCCCTATACAACTTCACTTGGTGACCTCATTAGCTCCTATGGGTTTAATAGCCATTTCTATGTAGATGATTCTTAGATCTACATATCTTGCCCTAATCTCTCTCCTACACTATAGCCATGCCTCCTGGTCACCAACTGCCTCTTGGTCATCTCAAACTAGATATCCTGTAAACTCAAACTCACTATGTTCATAACAGAACACATAATCATTCCTCACAAACCATCCACTTCTTCCAAATTTCCTTATTACTGTGAGAATGTCACTAGCCTCCAGCTACCAAAATAAAAACCACTGTATCTACCTTAACTCCTCAGTCACAATCATCCCATGTATCCAACCTTTCCCAGGTTTTATCTACCTTTATGTCCCCTTCTCACAGTCAGCTGCCACCTTGGTACAGGCTTTCATCGCCTCACACCTGGACAAACTCAATAGACTTTGGTGAGTCTCCTTAACTCAAGTCTCCCCTCTCCAGTCCACCCTCCACTCAGCTGACCAAGTGATATTCCTAAAACACAGGTCTGTCCATCCTTCCCTGATCCCTACCTACATAAACTTTAGTGTCTCCCTATTACATCAAAGACCAAATATAAAATCCTGTTTGGATTTTAAAGCCCTCCATAACCTGGTCACTTCCTACCACTCCAGACTTCTTACTCTGCCCTCCAAATACAATAAAGATCTTCTTGCAGTTCTCACACACAACACTCCATCTCCTGACTCCTTGTCTTTTCACTGCCTGTCTCCCATGCCTACAAAGTTTTTCTTCCTCACTTCTGCCTACTAAGACTTCTTCCTTCAGGGCCTTCTGCAAGAAGCCTTTCTTACACTCCCCACCACATCTTAGCCTGACCCACTCCTACCCCCAACTAGTTCAAAGCAACTTGAAAGTACAAATTCATTTCCAATGGAATTTGCCAATATTTATGATGTAAATGGACCCTGAAATGTGTAAAGTGATATTGTAAGGAAAGCTAATCTAACAATAAGCCTTTAAGGTAATTTCCTCCTTAGTAATATGTATATCAAACATAAAGTACTTTGTTAATGTTCACACTTAAAGAGGTGGGGCAACAACTCAGCTCTCCTTATTTCCAAAGCAGTGCTCTTGCCATTCCTTATTCTTACATCTTATCCCCATAAATATAGAACACAGCTCCTGGATTTCATCTTCATTTCCCTTACCATCTCCATTTCCTTCCCTATTAGAAAGACAAAATTTCAGAAGAATAAGACAGCTCAAGGGCCACCTAATCTAATCAAAACCTGAACAAGAACTTCTACAACATACCTAACAAGCAGCCATTTCGCCTTTCTCTGAAAACTTCCAGTAACAGGAAAACTTCCTAAGGTGGCTCAAAAAGTTTTCCTTACATCGAATTTACCTCTCTGCAACTTCTACACTCAGCTCCCAGTTCATGCCTTCTAGAGCCCAATACAAGTCCTATCTCTCTTCTATAGAGCAAAGCAGAGCTTCACATCAAGGTCTTTCACCAATCTGGTTGCCCTCTTCTAGATATTCACCATCTTGTCAACAATTTTCTGAAAATATGGCATCCAGAACTAAACACAACACTTCAAATGTGGCCTGGCCAAAGTAGAATAAACAGTAAATGATCATTCACTTCATCCAGAATACTTTATCCTCAATGCAACCTAAGACTGCAGGAGCTTTTGAAATTCTGTCATATTACACTACTGA